GAGCAGGGTGTTTCCAGACGACCATGAATGAGGGATGAATTTGAAATACATGAGGCCTGTATTCCAGAAGTGGGGGACCCAACTTGTCGACCTGATGGTTACACTGCAGAATGCAAATGTTCCCCTATTTTTCTTTTTCGAGGGGCAGATGTCGCATGGCGCTGGCCCGAGATGCGTTCTCCATAGTATGGAACTTTCCCCTGGCCTATTTGTTCCCTCCATTGCCTTTAGCCCTCAAGCGTTGCAAAAATATCTACCAGGAGGTGAGGATAATTCTAATTCTACCATTCTGGCCAAAGAGGCCTTGGTTCCCGCTTCTGCAACAGATGGAGGTGGCTCCTCCGTGGTTTTTCCCAGACAGGAAGGACCTTCTGGTGCAAGGACAATGGCAACACCCCAATCCCAAGAGACTGCATCTGGCAGAGATGGAGAGACCAGGGCTTATCACTTTAATGCAGTCCAGAGGTCTGTGTACAAATGCAACATACTCCAGGATTTGGAATAAGTTTCTAAAGTTTGCAGATCAAAATCAGTTTTCTCCCTTGCAGGCAGAACTTTCTGAGATACTTGATTTCTTGGAGTCAGCCTTAGATGCTGGACTGGCATACAATTCATTAAGAGTCCAGATTTCAGCTTTATTTGCGTAAATTGGAGTCACCTGGGCAGACAATCCATTGTTAAGATTTATGAGGGCGCCCTGAAATTGCGACCTCTGAGGAGATCTTTTTCCATCCTGTGATTTGGACCTAATCCTGCAGACCTTTACAGCTTCTCCGTATCATCCTTTAACTGAGTGCACTTTATGGTCCCTCATGCTAAGATTAGTGTTCCTGACGGCTATAACCTTGGCAAAGAGTGTCAAAGCTGGCAGCACTTTCATATAAAGAGCTCTTTTGTTTTCTATTAGAAGATAAAGTAATTTTAAGGCCATCTCCCAAGTTTAGCCCAAGGTGACTTTGGATTTTCATGCAGACTGGGAGATTATCCTACCAGGATGTAAATGCCTACCGGAAAACTTGAACGTGGACCTCTTGCCAGCTTTGGATTTAGTTGATATATTGAAAGAATATCTTCACGGGACTATTAAATTTCAGAAATCTGATAAGACTATTCGTGTTGCCAAGGGGCCCCAAGAAGGGGTGTGAGGCGACTCCAAATAAACTATCCATGTGGATCCATGCAGTGATCAAGGCGGCATATGTAAAGCAGGGTGTTAGGATTGTGGTGTGGGCCCGAAGTGACGAGAAGGACCTCCCTTGCAACCCCGTCTGACCACTGGGGTTGAAAACAGTGTGCTCAGGCAGGAGATGCACGGGTGCCAGATGCGGATCCTTGGTCACAAGGTTGATTGGCCACCTGACAGAATAGTCCGTCGTGCTTGAAGGGGTAAGCCAATGGGAGCGTCAGAGACAAGCTGGGTCAATAACAGGCGGGCAGCAAGGTACAAGGGGTTAATCCAGAGAGAGCATCCAGAGACAAGACGGGTCAATAACAAGCGGGCAGCAAGGTACAAGTGGTTAATCCAGAGAGAGCGTCCAGAGACAAGCCGGGTCAATACAATAATAGACAGTATCAATAGGATAGGGACAGGAGCAAGGAGGGAGAAATCGCCAGTAAAACAGAAACAGGAGCACAGCAGGGACCTCCAGTGCTGGCTGAAGATCACTCAGCACTGAATTGGCGTCCTGCTTAATATAGGCCGAGGATGCATCTCTACGCATGCACCAGCGTGATGTCACCGGCCCGTATCGGCGCAATGACGTCACGCCGCGCAGGGCGGTTCCCGCCGGGCCTTCTGGCATCTGCGCAGCCGGTGGACGTCCCCTCTGTGTGCGTCCCCGCACAGGGACTCGGAACGGGGCTCGGCATGTCCCACGGACCTGACACAGGGTCTTACTCCTCCGGCGGAAGTGCGAGCCCACTCGACTAGGGGAGTAGCAACTTCTTGGGCATCATATGCCAAGATATCCATGGAGGATATCTGCAAAACAGCTCGTTGGAGTTCACAGAACATGTTTGTGAAACATTACAAAGTAGATGTGGCAGCACCTAAGCTGGCCAGATTTGGGTCCTCCTTCCTTTCTTCAGCTAGGTCCAAATGAACTCTTTCTATTTTTGCAGCATTCCAGTGTTGTATTTTATGTATGGTATCTTATTTTCCCTCCCTTTTAGTGGTAAGCTTGCTGTATCCTGTGAGTATGCTGACATGAGGTGAGCCAGGAATACGGAAAATTGTTATACTTTACCGTAATTTTCTTTTCCTGGCTCATCCTCATGTCAGCATAAGTTCCCTCCCCTTGGGAGCTTGTTGCTCGTCTTGTTAGTGAACAGGGGGTTGGAGGGGGCTGACTTTTATGATCTGGATAGAGGTGGTCCTGTGGCTCAGAGGGGTGGAGCTGACCTGTGAGTATGTTGACATGAGGGTGAGCCAGGAAAAGAAAATTACGGTAAGTATGATAACAATTTTCCCTAATATATACACACACACACATTTTACAAGGCCTTTAAATCTGTAGTCAGCCATTATCTATTGCACCATCACACTGTTACTGACAAAGACATCCCATTACAAATTACCTGTGGCACACACAACATGTTGAAAACCAACATTTAGATAAATACAAGGGATCATTGAAATGGCAGCACTTACAACATTTGGAAGCAGGTTGAAGGTCCGTTGGACTGGTTTGTGAATCTGCACCATATCCCATGCTGTCTGTGAATATTGAGTATTGCAGTTCAGTATCTGTATAGTTTCTGGCTCAGACTGGATATTGTTTTACTTTACTGCTTAGTCATCAGTTAATTTAAAAAAAAAGGTCCTGGGCTTGGAAAGTTCACATGCTGAAGATCCCAGATTCAGTGTAGAAATCCTGCCAGACAGTAATAAAACAGAACATTGTAAGATTTAAGATTACACTGTGGAATATTTTTGTCTCCCGGCCACAGGGCTCATGTTCAGTTCCACATTAAACAGATAATATTTAATTTACCATGAAACATACCTGCGCTTTATCTGGTTAGTTTCTAATTCTGGAAGGCAGCTTCTAGTTTCCAATTTCAGTTCAGTTCAGACAGATAGCCCAGTTTCTCAAAAATCTATAAATCCGCATTGCAATTGTCTTTCAAAAGTAATTCATAGACACGAACTACTATGGAAAGTTGACTGAGGGTAAACCTCAGGTTTCATGCTTCAGAATGTAGATGTATCCGCACTCCAAGAATTCTGTTAAGCTGGGACCTTTAGAAATGGGAATATATATAGGTGTTCATTAACCACAAATGCTGACCCATTTCTCACACACATAAGCTTAAAGTGTATCTCTAGCCAAAACTCTTTTTTTAGTTTTAGAATTGAGAAAGGTTAGAACCCCTGTCATGTTTTACTGCTATCCATGGCTCAGTTAGAGAGATTACCCTTCACTTTCTTTCCCTGGATGTTTTACCAGACAGGAAGTGAGGGATTACCTGCACCAGGCAAGCAGACAACAATAAAATGCTGACAAAACTCCCAGCATTCCCCTACTTAAAGTGACATTAAACTCTGATTTTTTTAACATAAAACAATACTGTAATGTGCGCCTTACTGTAATCCATGGTAGTTTCCCTTCTCTTTGCTGCTCTTCCTTTTAAATCTGTATCTCTTCGCATGCTTGGGGAGAACTTCCCTTTGCAGCAGACTGCCTTGTCTCTGAAATGGATACATGTGGTCCTTGTGAAGGTTCACAACCTGAGCCAGCACTACAGGAAGAGGCACTCAGCTGCAAAGGGAGGTTCTCCCCAAGCATGAGAAGAGATACGGATTTAAAAAGAAGAGCAGCAAAGAGAAGGGAAACTACCATGGATTACAGTAAGTCACACATTACACTATTGGTTTATGTTAAAAAATCTCAGGGTTTAATGTCACTTTAACTTTAAAAAAACCATGAATTCTTCTGTCTTTGTTGCTTGTAGATAGATTTTCCCTCATTTCCTGTCCTGAGGACAATCTTTTTCCCAGACAGAAAGTAAAGAAATCTGTCCAACGGAGCCACTGATGGCAATAAATCCTAAAAGGAGTTCTGATCCTTTCCCACCACTCTATCCAAACCTGAAAAAAGTTTTGGCTATAGATCCACTATAGATATACATGAAAATACAGGTCACAGATTAGCAAGATCCTTAAAGTAAGCATGGCGTGCTCCTTCTGCACACTAGCTGTATGCTGAGAGATTGGGATCTGAGCAACCTTTTCTCTCATGGCAATCCTTGAGAATCCCAAAAGGGAGCACTCATCACACATTTCTGGTGCACAGTACATATATTAGATTGTATTGTTCTCAGTTGTATTTCAGTAAACAAAGTACATTGCAGTTGTTTTGAGCTTTATTGCATACTTCACCCAGCTCCATGCTAAGAAAGGTGCTCATCCGACCACAAAGAGCAGGCACCAGATCTAAATTTGCCTCCATCACTTAATGAATACTTTGGCCTTATTTGAAGCCATCTGCTAAGGAGCACACCACCAGGTTTTATGCATGAGATTCAGATGCGATCCCTTGGTACCATTATGGAAGTTCCAGTGATCAAACCCTAAACTACTATACCCAAATTTTACAAAGTTGTGTGGAGTGGCTTTTTTTTTTTTTTACACAAGGGCTTAGAAACAGGAGAGACAGCAGGGAGTGTTGGTGTACAAAATCTACGAAGCCTTTTGGTTCAGCAAAAACACATTTTTATGCAAGTATTCACTTATTTCTGCATGTTTCCTTTTGTATTTACAGGGCAGCCATGTATCACAAACAGTCCCGGCATGATGCATGCTTATTTTGTTATAATGGTTTACCAACAGAGCAGTGATTTGGTGCCTAAAACTAGGCAGGGTTTGGGCATTTGGAAGCGTGGTTTCAACAAGCATTTTATAAATTGGTTTCATTAAAACAGATTAAGAGATTTTGTAAATGTATTTTTTACAGTTGAGCAGTTTAATGATTATAATTGTGGTTTTATTTTATGTACAGATAGTGAGATGATTCCTCCGGATTGTGTACGGCCAAGATCATTTACTGCAATACCACGGCCATCTCTAAGAAGAGAAACTGAAGACACCCGCTTGTCTGTCAGCCTGTGTGACCTGAACTTGCAAGAAGAAAACTTTCAGTCCATGTCCACCATGTGTCCTATCCCACAAAACTCACTCAACTCTCAACATTCCCATCTGCTTCCCACACAGCTGGAGAGTGATCTCCGGTTCCATCAGCTTAGAGGGGCTCACATCAAAACGTTAGATGATCAAACTGTGGCCAGGCTGGAGCATGCCCGAGAAGAGCGAACTTTAGTGTTCACCAACAGACCACTGCGAATTAACGAAACCATATTTGTCAAGATAAACAAATCTAACTCTGCGAGGTCTGGGACTCTGTCTTATGGTGTGACATCTTGTGATCCCAGCACTTTGAGACCAAGTGACCTTCCTTATAATCCAGAGTCTTTGGTTGACAGAAAGGAGTTCTGGGCAGTATGTAGAGTTCTGGTTCCTCTTCAGAGCGGGGACATCTTGGGGTTTGTGATAAACACAGAAGGTGAACTACATTTAAGTCACAATGGCAGTAGCACTGGAATGCAGGTCTGCGTGGACTGTTCTCAACCATTGTGGATGTTCTTTGGTCTTCATGGAGCCATCATGCAAATACGTATATTGGGTAAGGCCTTCTGTTTTTCATTATTAGATGTGTATTTAATGTACTACAATCATTCTGTTATAAACTTTGTTTGACATCCTCATTCTTACAGAAACTGACTAGAACTTGGTTATTAAACCTACAGGGAAAAAAAACCCAGAGGTGTTGCCCCCAGCCAATTATGTGGGTGCAAAAGCATGATACCCACCATAGCATTCCTGAGGGAGAAGTATTTGAAATGTTTCCTCTTCCTCCTCTTGGTATGCACCATTTCATACATCAGTCTCCTCATTATTTTAATGTTAATTTCCTGAGGCTTTCTGGTGAAATCGTTGCATGAAATACTCTAAGACATTTGCATTCTTTTTATCTGTGTATCATGCAACAACTGCTCATTGTGCTTATGAACCTTAATGATTAAGTTATTAGTATAAATTACCAGTAGACTGAATTGAACCCGGAAAGTCCAATAGTAAGACTTTACAATTCATAATGAACTTAGTAATGTATTCAGTGAAAACAATTCTTTTTTTTTTCCAGAATAAGTTTTTATTTGTGTCATTTCACATACAATTCCATAAATTACAGAATGATATCATTAACCTCTACATATATGGCTATTTCATGTCTAAAATTTCTTAATTTATTCTTAATTACAGGTGAAAAATATATCATAACAGATGAAAAATACTAGTACTTGTGACTAAATAAATAATAAACCAACCTTTCACCATTACTTGTTTAGCCATAAAGAGAGAGGGCAAAGAGCATTATACGGTCTGAGATGCCACTCAATTACGGCCCCATACCTTTTCTCTTCCCCTGTTTATTCATAAAAAAACCCTATCATACCCACTCCTTCATCCATTCCCCCCCCCCCATCGGTCAGGTCAGTCAGGTCTGTTCTTTGCTGTCGGTTTCTTCTATCTCAATCCATGCTTGTTGAGGCGAGGTGTGGGAGCTACAGGTGTACACACCTTACACCGCCATTGTCCCTGGGCCACTCCCCCCCTCAATTCTTGATACCTTTCCATTAACAACAACTTTCTGATATTGAGCTGTACGTGTGATTGTTGTAGCACTGTGTTAATAATGCATTTACCACCTCATATATTATTTATTACTTCTGTCAGAGGAAGTAGTGGACATGAATAAACATTATACTGGAAAGAGTGAAGAAAATTAAACTCAGAAACTAAAAAGTGTGCTAGATTGTGTAGCCACGGCATAAAATCAACCTAATTCACTGTGGAAATGAGTGGAATGTAAAGAGGTTACAGCCAACCAGACCTCACCAAATAGTAGCAAAGTACTTTACTATTGCTGGAATTCCTCAATGTGTGTTTTATGTATTGTGTATTAACGTGTGCCAGTCTTTTATATGGACTGGATACAGCAATATACAATAGTTTTCTAAATATTCACCTAATACCCTCCTTCCTACAATGTCAGCCATCCCTCCCCACTATTACACCAAGTCTCCCCTACTATTACCCACCCTCCTGCATTGTCAGTCAGCCTGCCCCCCCTTCCCTTCCCTACCACTATCACCCAAAACCATCCTTCTGTACTGTACATAATCAGCTTTTACAGCACTTGCACTACCCCTACTTTCAGAACTCATCACATCTCCACCACCACTATACTTACCACTCACTGTGCACGAAACTCCCTTCTCTCAGAACCCACTGCAATTGCAGCTTCCTCCACTCAACACCCACTACACCAACCACCTAACAGGCCCACACTCTTTTCTCACCACTGACCATGCAACCCACCATGCCTGCACACCTGCAGCCCCCTCTCATCTTAACACCCACCATGCCTGCACACCTCCTTCTCTCAGCACACATGTATTCTGCAGCCCCCCCATTATTTCATCACTCACCTTCCTGCTTTCCCTTTCTCTCACTATACATCAATCCGACACCCACCACGTTGCACCACTACTCCTTTTAGAATCCACAGTGTCTGCAGCACCCCCTTCTCTCCACATCCAACATGCCTGCAGCCACTTCTTTAAACATCCAACAAGCCTGCAGCCCCCATCTCTTTGGGCCCCTCCTTTCTCAGCACCAATTGCACCTGTAGCCCCACTTTTCTCCGCATTGACTGTACCTGCAGCCCCCTTTCTCTTAGCACCCATATGCCTGCAGCTTACCTTCTCTCACCACCTTCTGTGCCACTGTGCACACCCCCAATTCATATCGGCATTCCCCCTTCCCAGCTTTCACCAATGCATCTTTACAACTCCCCAAACCCTGACCTATGGCCTGCATGCAACCTCCCTCCTCTCCTACCCCCGTACCAGCACACTTCCACTCTTTTCTCACCCCCACCTTGCTCCTAGATCTGACATACATAATCCACTCTCCCACTCTTTATAATGTCCCCGAATTCCATTCATACCTCAAAGCTGGAGGGTGAAGGATGTTTTAAATTAGTTAACCTTTTCATTTTTGTATAAAAACGTGAACTTGCCCCTCAACAGGACGCAAATAAGAGAAATTCATTAGTATACGAACAGACTGCACTATCCAGAGAATTCCAATACTGCAGACTTTATTAAAATTCACAGCAAATCCAGTATGTCAGTGAAAAAGTGTATAAAGCTACAAATGCCAGCACTGCACACCCCCAACCAACTACAACCTCTCACATGTTTCACCCGAAGGCTTTTTCATAGAGGTAAAAAAGCCTTCAGGTGAAACATGTGAGAGGTTGTAGTTGGTTGGGGGTGTGCAGTGCTGGAATTCTCTGGATAGTGCGGTCTGTTTGTATACTGCTTTTCATTTTTGTATAAAAACTAAGGTGGAAAGGTGGAAATGCACCTATTGGACCAGCACCTGGGGAGTCCTGATGGTGGCTAAGGAATTGGAGCGGTGAGATTTATTTTGGCTCTACAAGAGAAATTCATTGTTAGGATTTACCTACCCTTTAAGTTCCTCCAGCCTCTATTGATTTGTTTTATCCCCCAGTCCTTTAGCTTATCAAATAGCTTACCATTTGTGCAGATCAACAGTCACCTTCTTGATCTGCACATAAATGAAAAAAAGTAAATATGACACAAGAAAGTTGTTATAGGGAGATATAGGGCAAGTTCTTGTCATTTTGACAGCTGGGATTAGCAGGCACTAGCCACGGAAGGAAGGGCTCAGGTGCGGAACTACTGGAGGTGCAGCCCACTGACAGGGGGGAGGTGGAGGAGGCAGGGGCTGGGGCCCAGTAGCGCCGGTCCGGCGGTGGAGGAGGCTAGCAGGTGAGAAGCTGCATGTGCAGGGAAAGGGACCCCGACCAGCCCACCTGAGACCCTGAAGATCCCACCATAGAGAGTATCCCTGGGCTGTGCAGGATATATGATGGGCTGTGTGGGGTCTCAGATGGGCTCTGCAGGATCTCCAGTGCGTCCAGAGTCCAGTGCGTTGCCATGTCCAGAGTCCAGTGCGTTGCCATGTCCAGAGTCCAGTGCGTTGCCATGTCCAGAGTCCAGTGCGTTGCCATGTCCAGAGTCCAATTTATATACTGTTCTACATTGCTGTACAATATATTGCTGGGATTTGTAGTCCCCTACAGCCGGTGCCATTCTGCATTAGAGTGTAAGTTTCTCTGTTCAGAAACTAATGTGACTGGCTCAGTGTTCTCTGTACAGCACTGTGGTATATGTCAGAGCTATATAAATGTATAATAATAGTGTGAGACTGTGGGAAGACATTAGAGTGTAAGCTCCTCTGGTGCCGTGACCGCCGGGGTGGTTGGAGGACCAGTGAGATCCACCCCCACCCCGGCAGGGGGCACCCAAGATAAAATCTTGCACCTGGGCCCTTTATTCCTTAGGTCTGTCACTGGAAGGGCTGAAGGATGTACAAGGTATATCTTTTGTCTGTAAAGTGTATATAAACTTGTATTTGCTCTATTTTGATCCGTTAAATGTACTATTGAAAGGGTTTGGTTGTGTCTGTTCAATAAGTGCAAAAAATGCCAAAAATCTTGTGAGTTTATAGCTTCCTCTGCTGTTATATTGTTACTAGCCATTTATTTGGACTACAAAACACCTACCACGTGTTATAAAGAAGAGGGGGATGTTTTCTTTCTGTAGTCCTGTCTTAAAGTGACAACACTTCTACTACATGGATTGTGTACAGTTAGCGAGCGTTGTCACTTTAGGACAGGAAGTGTGTTATTTGCAAGATGAACAGATGAAAAGCCTGGTACGCTGCAATATATGATATTTTTGTTCCTAGATTTAGATACTTAATCTGGTCAAAATGTTTATTTTTAATTTAGGTTTCTGTGAAATCAGAGATATAACGTCCCCACCATTTGTCAGCACAGAAATTAAGATGAAAAAAGCTGACTGAACAAGCTGACAATACAATACATGTGTTAGTGTGATCGAGATAACCGGATACCACAGCCTATGTGCATGTGATGGAACTGAGTATCGCTGCTCCTGGTCCCAGATCTCCCTCGACAGAATCTCTCACCTTCGCTTGTCCTTATTTTTTCTGTTCCATCAATGTTTATTGATTTTCAAAGTTTTCAAACAAGGAATGTAAATACAACATAGTAGCAACATAGTAGTGAAAGTACAGATTGATCAGTGTTGCATATACAATTAAAATGTACAAAATTCAAATCAAGTCATGCAACTATTAAACCCTATCGGGCTATCAGGATATATATTAATCAAGATGATACATTAAAAAAAAAAAGGTGGATAAACATCAATGAGGGCCCTTGCAGCACTCAAGCCCTGTCAAGGAGACTCAAGGTAAAGTAATGTAGAGGGAAAGGGGAGTAAATCAGGGAAGAAAAGCAAGCAGGAATGGTAAGGGTGTGGGACAGGGACTGGGCCTACATCTATGTCAGGGACATCATGTGGTACATACTCAATGGGCATAGCAGGAATATGGGAACTCAGAGGACAAGCGAGTCTAAGTGAAAAGTGGAAGGCATGTAGGAAACGATCAATGGTTCCCAAATCTTCTCAAATATGGGAAGGGTGTCTGACTGGACAGCCGGCATTTTCTCAAAGAACATGACTTGTGAGACCCTATGCTTGACTTCCGAAAAGGGGACTGTGGGGGAGCGCCAAGCTCGTGCAATCACCCGCCTAGCTTCAGTAAAAATATGGGTAACCAGCCGAAACTGAGTCTGTGTGCAGACCACCGTTTTTTTTACCAACAGTGCTTAAGTTGGTTAAGTGCTCCCTAGAAGTATGAATCAGTTGATACACCCTAGACCAAAAGGGGCGGATCCTCGCTTGTCCTTATTTTTTATGAATATTTAAGATACCACAAGCTAAATTAATTCAATGCAGAGAGCTAAGTAAAGCTGGCCATACACTGGTAGATTAGGGTCGGCGATCATACCAACGTTCATATGATAATGCCATCAGAACATTCGATGCTGCCATCAGAGACTTGATGAATGTTGTTTGATTTAGAAATGAAGTTTCCCAAATAAAATGAAACAAATTGACTGTTTAGAATATTGTTAATTTCAGAAAACCTTTTTTATTCTTTCAATTTCTTATTAGGAAATGGAACAAACATTGTAAAAATTAATTGTTTCAAACACAATTCTACCGTGTATGGGCAGCTTAGGACTCTTGAAGGTAAATTCATTAAGTACAGAGAGAGTAGGAAGCCATTTGCTGGTATATTTCCTATAAATCATTGTAAACTGACAAGATGCCCCCACTTCCTAATGAACAAACAGACTAAATGGTTCCTCATCCAGCATATCAGGGGTCTTTCTACTGTGTAGTCTACAATTACACTTAAATTAGGGGATTTGACACTGACAAAGAAGCAAGGGGTAGTTGAATGTTTCAAGCAAATTCCGTGAGACATATCTATCTTATTTTTCAGTTCTATAAACTAGAAGCCCCCAAGCTGTGCTGGAATTGGTAGCTGAAGCATCTGGCTTATATCACTACAGCATGTGCTTGTTCAGTGAGCAGCAAGAACACTTGTACCAACAATGACAAATAGGACCCTCGGTTATGTGCCCATACAGAAGCCCGACTCAGTGCTTGTCATACCCCATTATTGAACATTATCTTTTCATTTTTCCTCATTTTCAGTAATTGATTATGGGCACTTAGTGGAATCTGTCTGAGCAGTCATTGTAATCTATCAGCCCTGAATAGGACTTCCTCCTAGACCAACTTGCCTGCAGCCATCTCTCACACTGGAGCTTTTGTGCATGCATTTAGCCAATGTAGTATACCAGAGGCTTCTGTTATGTGTTGTAATACACATAGTTCATGGATGTGGTATAGTTTTACTGAAGAAAGAATCGGATAATATGCTTTGATCTTAATTACAGTTTCCCTGATCCTTCCATGTGCTGCAACTACTGTGAAGAAATCTTACACTTCAGAAATTTTAATACCTAAAGTAAGCAATAATCTTATTTTCCAGGCTCCACAGTATCATCATCTGACCATCGAGACATATCAACACCAAGTTCTCCAACGTCTGTTCCCAGCACCCCAACAGCCCTGTGCAGCGGTAGCTCTGACCCTGTGTTGAACACATGTGTGCCAGGGCCCCTTTGTAATTCCATAAGTGGTAAGTACACAAGATGTTGCTGTACACCATGACAACAGAAAAGGAATATTTATGTAAAGATCACAATCTTATGGGGATACACTGTCATTGCTTGAATGGTTCAGCAAGCATTCCGGGTGAGCTGTGCATGTGGAGTTGTTCCCCCATTCATTCCTATGGGAAGGCTGTCGACCATTAAGACCAACAATCAACGGCCTTTACATAGCAATGAATGGGGGCTCTATTGCTAATGCGTGGGCTAACTGGAATGCTTTCTATGGAGAGACTGTTTAGCTTTCAGCAGCCCCACAGTGATTGTGGACAGGTAAGTGGCAG